AAAAAAACAGCTACATTATAAAGCGATGTAAAATACTAAAAACAGGAACATTTCTGTTGGTTTATGCCATGAACTTAGCAGATGTTTGAAGCCATTTAATAGTTTTAATTAATTTATTCATTCATTTAAAAGAGACAAAACAAACAAAAGAAATTAATCAAAAAGAAAACATTGAATGAAAAGAGTGCAGAAAGAAGAAAAAAATGTATATCTCCCCCTTATTTAAAAAAATAAAAATAAAATAACTTTAAACAAACAATCACTTAAATTAATTACTTTAATATCCACTTTAAAGCTAGGAATAAAAAAAAAACACGTTTTGTGTTAGCAGGATTTAATTCTAACTTTGAAACTTATTTAGCATTAATAAAACTTACCTCATGTTGCCTTTTTGGACATGCATGCATATATTTGTACAATTTGTACTTGAGAGGAGATTATTACAGCCTCATATAAAATCAATAATAATGATGATATCGGAACTGGATCGGTATCGGCTGATATCCAGATTTAGGTATCGGATCAGAAGTAAAAATATGTGGATTGGTGCATCTCTAGAGAAATCCCACACATGCACAGAGAACATGCAAACTCCACCCAGAAACCAGGACCGGGATTTGAATCAGGGTAACCTGCTCGCTGAGAGGCAGCAGCTCTACCAACTACACCACCTGCATCAGAAACTGCAAGACTTAAAGTTGTTTTTAAGCTCCAACTTTTATTTTTGCATAAAACATTTCCAAACGTATAATTTGGTCTAATATAAAACAAATGTATTGGGAGACCATGGATTTCTTACAGTACTGTCATTTTTTAAATATTTTTATCAATGAGGACAACTATTTTGTTTGACACACAAACGTTCTCCAAATTTCTGATTTTCCCATGATGGCTGTATTCAGATGCAAAGCTAAAGGTCACAGTGCTTTTTGCATTGCACATAATTTAGGAGAATGGAATAAATAAAAAGTGACATTTGAAGATGATTAAAGGCAAACAGCGCATTATTTGGGCTTTCTCTCCTCCCCCGGGAGTCTTTTTAGGCTGCACATAACGATGTGTTCCAGTCCCAAGTGGTCTTTTTCAGTGTCCAGACTGTAATGATGTCAGCAGGCATAGGGCAGCATTCACATATCAGCTGAAGCCTCATCACAGTCAGTCAGAGTTTTTGTAGTTGGTGAACAGGTTGTAAAGGACTCTGAGAGTGGACTTCAGGTTTAGGTTGACAACATCTAAAGAAAAAACAAAAAGAGAGCAAAAACTATTAGGGCTTTAATGAAGAAAAACCAGAACTTTGATGTGTAGAGAAACTGGCGTCCCTGAAGTAGCGAATTAAAATAATATTCTTCCTTAAAGACATACTGACACTGTAGAGCCTAATCTATGATTATTTTTGGACTGCTTTCCTCCAACATGTTATTTGTAACTTTGAAACAGAACTCCAGCTTAAAAGGAACTCATAAACGACTATCATATAATTTATTAGTCCATAGCCAGATATTGAAAGGTAAGAACTAGGTTTATGTTCATCTGTTGCTGCTATTGTGTTCTATCAAACACAACTACCATATTTGCTGCCGTAAATGTCACACCGCCATATAAGTAGCATCAGTCCAAATATGTCTAAGTACTTTGGTAACAGCTTCTGTTTTAAATGTGCTATATAAATAAATCTGACTTGACTTGAATTGACTAATAAAGTGGAAAAAAAAAAAAACAGATAAGTTGCTTCGCCGCATAAGTCACATCTATTATGCGTCACTGCTGACGCGGCACGTTTATTATGCGTCACCGCTGACAACCCAGAAACATGGGTCGGTGTTGTGCCAAAAACTGATTGGCTGCCAAATGGCTTCTGCAGGAGCGTACATGGCACTTAACAAGAATTTAACAAGGTTAACAGTTAAAAACAATTATTTGTTTGCTAGAAATTATAGTAAAAGTGTATTTCAGTTGAGTTGGGAAGCTGTGGCTGAGTGGTTAGAGCAGTCGTCCTCCAATGCGAGAGTTGGGGGTTCGAATCCACCAGCAGTCACATGCTGAAGTGTCCCTGGGCAAGACACTGAACCCCTCATAGCCTCTGTTGTGTGTCCCATCAGTGTATGAATGTGATCTAAAGCACTGATTAGTCTCATTAGAATGATTTGTTCAATTAGCTTTGTAGAGATCTAGTAGAGTGCTGTATGAATGGGTAAATAAGGACACAGATTGTAGTGTAAAGCGCTTTGAGTATCTTGAAATAAGATAGAAAGGTGCTATATAAGTACAGTCCATTTACCATTTACCATTTAACTTTTCCTTAATATATGCACTTTGTCTTTCTACCCAGTGAAGTTACTACATGAGTTATGGCTAAAACCCCACTGCAGCCTCTCCTCTAAGGGGTATATCAGACTAATCTAGCACTTGAGTATTACCCAGAGTGACCTTAGCTTAGTTCTGTTTAAGGCTGTGTTGAAGGTGACTCACCCAGATTGTTAACGACCTTCATTTGAAAGTCACACCCTTATCTCACCCCATGACTCACCCAACCTAGCAGCCGGGGTTGGATCGTTGCCCATGAGGAAACATGCATTCACGGCCGCTCACCCTCGGTTGTAGAACTGCAATTGTTACCGATCTGGTACTTTTTTGAATCTAGGAATAAGATTCTAGGATGTTGTTTATAATCAAAGCTGAGAAAACCTTTAAAAACCTCCATTTTTTATTTATATTAAACCAAGCTTCTTAAATCCATGAATACGAAGTGGTGAAATTATAGTCCAGAATCTTACATATGCTTTGCTTTAATTGATGATTTGCAGGGGAACAGCGTTATAGCAGAAATCCATAGTGATTATTCGGTTACATAGACAAGTCAGTAGTCAAAAGTCACTTGTTACTTGAAAGGTGTTACTGTTGATTGTTGGTTGATGTCCAAGGTGCGAAACAGTCCAATTGTGTTGTAATTACTTTGCTCCAATGAGCAAAACCATCCATCCATCCATCATTTTCTTCCGCTTATCTGGGGTCGGGTCACGGGGGTAGCAGCCTAAGTAGGGAGGCCCAGACTTCCCTCTCCCCAGCCACTTGGGCCAGCTCTTCCGGGGAATCCCGAGGCATTCCCAGGCCAGCCGAGAAACATAGTCCCTCCAGCGTGTCCTGGGTCTTCCTCTGGGCCTCCTTCCGGTGGGACGTGTCCGGAACACCTCACCAGGGAGGCATCCAGAAGGCATCCTAAACAGATGCCCAAGCAACGTCAACTGGCTCCTCTCGACGTGGATGATCAAGCTTCTCACCCTGTCTCTAAGGGAGAGCCCAGACACCCTGCGGAGAAAACTCATTTCGGCCGCTTGTATCCGAGATCTCATTCTTTCGGTCACAACCCAAAGCTCATGACCATAGATGAGGGTGGGAACATAGATCGATCGGTAAATTGAGAGCTTTGCCTTTTGACTCAGCTCTCTCTTCACCACAACAGACCTGTACAGCGCCTGCTTCACTGCTGACGCTGCACCTATCCGCCTATCGATCTCACGCTCCATTTTTCCCTCATTCGTGAACAAGATCCCAAGATACTTAAACTCCTCCACTTGGGGTAGGACCTCCTCCCTGACCCGGAGAGGGCACTCTACCCTTTTCCGGCTCAAGACCATGGCCTCGGATTTGGAGGAACTGATATTCATCCCGGCTGTATCACATTCGGCTGCGAACCGCTCCAGCGAAAGCTGTAGATCATGATCTGATGAAGCCAATAAGACCACATCATCTGCAAAAAGCAGAGACACAATCCTAAGGCCACCAAAACGGATCCCCTCAACACCTTGGCTGCGCCGAGAAATTCTGTCCATAAAAGTTTTGAACAGAATTGGTGACAAAGGGCAACCTTGGCGGAGTCCAACTCTCACCGGGAACAAGCCCGACTTACTGCCGGCGATGCGGACCAGGCTCTGACACCGGTCATACAGGGACCTAACAGCCCGTATCAAAGGGCCCGGTACCCCATACTCCCAGAGTACCCCCCACAGGGCCCCCCTTGGGACGCGGTCGAACGCCTTCTCCAAGTCCACAAAGCGGACAGAGCAAAACCAAATAATTATAAATTTGTAAAGCTCCGATGAGTAAAAACAGAAAATTATAAATCCATAAGCTCCGTTGAGGAAAAATAGAAATATATTATTCTTCACTCTGTTGAGCGAAAGTAAGGTAAGGTGATTAGGTTCAGGGGAAGACTTTTGCTGCTCCGAGACCCCAGTGAACACTCAGAAACCCAAGATCGTTACTGGACTCGATGAGCCATCAGCCGGCATCTCGAGTTTACCTTGTGTTCCCAGAATCCTCTGGAGTGAAATATCAAAAATTAAGTTTAGTTGGAAAAATAAAAATGAAAGTCAAAAAATTAAGTTTAGTTGGAAAAACAAAAAAATAAAAGGTTAAAATCTAAAGTGTGTTCAAAAACTCTATCAAACAAAAAGGAGAAAAATCAAAATATACAAAGGCATCTTCAGAATCCCATAATGCAGCAAAAATGGGGAAACTCTCCTAAATTGTATTAATTACAACTTTAAAAATACCAAATTTAGACTTCCGGTTATGGCGGAGAGGTGAGCAGACGCACTTAACCAGAGCTCCCAACTCGGTCGGCTAAATCCCCTTTGCCATAGTTGAATTAACCCTCTAAAACTGATTATTTTATGATGAAAAGGGGAAAGGCAACAAAAAGTAATAGTAAATCAAAACAGACACAAGAGACAGGGCGAGAAAACTTTCAAAGCATTATTCGATGAAGGCGAATCTGACCAGCACATGGCTATGGAGGGGCTTCAAGCTAGCATCGGAGCTATCCACGCAGACGTGAAGGAAGAGCTGTGCTGCTTTTGTGACAACTTCTCTGCAGATATGAAGCGAGATTTAAGAAGTTTTCAAGAGGAGATTAATGGAAAACTTAACAAAATCGTGTCGGACATAAAAGAGAACCAAAAGAGAGCGGAGGAGTTGTTACGAGTGGCAGAAATGGAGGAGTGGACCACGGCAGCGAAAGAGGTGCTGTCTCAACCTATAAACAACCAAGCCAAACTGACTGATTTAGAAGCGCACTCATGTACAAAGTAGAAACAACATACGTGTGTACCGGATTCCGGAGGATACAGAGGGAGACAGTTTGTTGGAGTTTATGGACGATTTCATTAAGGCTGAGCTGTCACTCCACGATATTGATCTAGCTATACAACGCTGCCACCGGGCTTTGGGTCCCAAACCACCGCAGAATTTGAGCCCCCGCTCCGGGGTGATCTCCTTTCTGGCATTCAGAACCAGGGATTTGGTGCTTCGCACCACGTGGAAAACAAAAGAGATCCGCCTTAACCAGCAGCGAGTTTATTTCGACCAGGACTATCCGGCAGAGACCCAAAAGAAGAGGAAAGCTTATGCCCCTATCAGAAAACTTCTGAAAGGAAAAGGCCTCCACTTTCAAACCCTGCCAGCTAAGCTCTGTGTGTTTTTTGACGGTGGCCCAATCACATATAGCAGCGCAGCGGACGCCATGAAGGACCTGCAAAAGAGGGGTCTCGCTCCTGATCGCAACAGCAACAATTGTTCTCCCACGGCAGCGCCGATGGATAAATTGGACAGACTGTCCTGGGTAGTGGCGGAGGCCAAACAACAGAACTCCGATGCACATGGAGAGAGAGCACGGAAAAAACTCCACGGATTTTGTCATGAGGCTGGAGACGCAGCCACTTCTTCAAGTTAAGCCCCGCTCATTAAAATTCATGCGGTAAGATAAGCAATCACAATGATTTGATCCAATGTGTGGACTAAGAACCGAATATTTTCTTAAAGAGACAATGTCAGACATCATTATATTAACACCTCATTTAACCTTTGCTAATGTTAACAAGAAATATGTTACTGATTTTAAATAATACATGACTGTTGTTTTGGGAGCCGGTTTAAAGGCTCTGATTGTGCACTGAGCTTATACTCAAACCGAGCTATGTCAGTTTGCAATGGAGAGACCCCCCACGAAAAGAGTCTCGTGGGGACTTTTCTCTTCATCCAGGACTCCTTAATGAGTCATTTTGTTTTGGAAGTCATTCCTTTAGGATTTTTTCAAGTTTCAGGTTTTTTGTTTTTGATTTTTATAAATGTTTCATTCTTAAGGTTACCTTGGATGGGTAAGTTAGAGGAATTTATTACTTTAAAGATTTATGTTCCAACAGCAATATAAATTTATAACTATTAATGTTCACGG